TGGAGAGGGGGAGGGTGAAGGAAGGGGTGGAGGAGCGGGGGTGGGCCGCACAGCCGGCACCGCTACCACCACCAACGCCACCACCACCCGCTCCACCCGCTCGACCGCGATCGAAGCATCGAGCGGCACAAGAGAGAGAGGGAGAGGAGAGAAGTAGGCGCCACCCCTGAATAGAGAAAGAGAGAAGACGGAGAGAGAGAAGGGGGGAGGGAGAGAGAGGGAGAGAGCGAGAGAAGAGATATGAGAGAGATAGAGGGAGGGAGGGAGGGAGGGAGGGAGGGAGGATGCACCGAAGGGGAGGACTGCGAGGCGGAGGGAAAGGGAGGGGGCAATCATGAAAACGTAAAGAAGGGAGGAAGGAAGGAGGAAGTGAAGGAATGGATAATAAAGGCGGACGCGCGAGGAGGGTGGATGAATAAACAAGGACGGAAAGGACAGGCAGTGAATGGGGAAGAGGGAGAGAACGCTCCGAAAGGGATTTACTGAGAGGGGAGGGTGTAGGAGGGGGCGGCTTCTCTGAAAGTCGAGCAGGGTGTTTCTCCCAGCCCAAGCCCCTACCTACCCCTGAGCAGCCATAATGCTCCCCAAGCAACGACGCCACAAAAGGACAACTTCTTCGTGACGACACTGCTAAAAAGTGGTGGTGGTGGGGGGGGGGGGCACTGGTTGTTGATTAAGTAAAGGATCAATAAATTCAACGCGTTTACCATGAATGTGGTGACCTTTACGTTTACTGGAAAACACATACGTAGCAGGAAAATTTACCGGTACATGAAACATATATGTTGTACCAAGTTCCAAGTATTCCCAGTATTCCACTCAATTTTAGCGCGTTTCACTTACACCAACAGCAAGCTATTAAAAATGCAATTTGCAACAGAAATGAAAAAGTTCACTGAATTAAAAATTAAGGATTCGCTAAAATGTGAATTCAATCTCTTTTTCGTTAAGCTGATGAGTCACCTTCATATTTAGTGTTCTTTGAGATTAGTGCTAAACATTTCGGTGTACCTTGGAGCAGGCGTCTTTTGTTATCCGCGTGAAACATGTAAACACAAATAGAGGTGTGGGTTAAGTGTCGAGTTTTTAACGTTTTCCCGACCAGGTCGTCATGATTCTTATCTTACTTTAGCGGGTAATTTGTTTATACAAAGTAATTGTTACTTTCATATAAGCTGTAGATAGTGACATACCTATCTGACAAGTATTTGTCTTATCTTTAGCCGGCCTCCATAACCTGACTGGAATGTAAATAAAGGATCTCTGTGATTCTACTTTGGTCAACAACTGTTTCTTTGAAATTTGAATTGGATATTTAATATGCCGCCAAAAACACGTTCTAAGTCGTCCCCTTTATGGCATCGTTGTGAAAAATGTCAAGTTGTTCTTCCCTCGAAAGACCTTAACATTCATCAGGAAGGATCTTGCCCGCCTCAAATCGAGTCTTGGACGCATGGATTTATAAAGAAAAAAGTTCTTTACAGTTGGCTTGGGGAGGTTTCTTCTGCAGGTACCTACTGCTTGTAAAATTGTGATGTGTTGTTGAATTTCATTTCTACTTGGTTCATAAATCAAATTTTAGATTCACTGCCTGCTCTACCCTCAGAGGAAATAGAAAATATGGTTTTTGTATCACTCTCTGCCATCCAACTTTGTGGATTTTTTATTGGTGATCCAGTTCTGGTGGAAGCAAGAGGATGCTTGGCAATCAAATCAGTTTGGCCCACGACTGAAAAAACTGTTACGTCAGTTCTGTTGACCAAGGAAGGTAAATTGCGTATTCAGCATAAAGTGTACCTACTAAAGCTGTTGTGACATGTTTTTAATGAGTAAATTTACTTCCTACTTTCAGGATTAGAATTTGCAAATGATTTGATAAATGCACCAGTGATTGTAAAAAAAATATCTTGTCCAATACCTCCTGCTCAAGAAGTTGTCGTTCATGTCTGTAACACATCCCACCCTTATGGCCAACAAGTAGCTGATGTGCTTCTAATACTGAAGCATAAATATTCTGGAAAATATTTGAAAGCTGGTAGCAAAATTCAAGTTCCATTCTATGGTCGCAAACTCAAATTTATAGTATATGAAGTGAAATGTCTCCCAACTGTGAATCAAACTACAAGCACTATAAATTCTCCAGATGCTTTGGAATCAATTACTGATAATTTGCAGAATATGTCATTTAGTGACATGCAGTCAGGAAGCGAGGCTTCCTGTTCTACTCCAGTTGGAAAGAAGTCTAATTTTCAGCTGAAGCGAGCTTTTGGTTCTGTTTCTTCTACTGATACTCCTGTGCGAAGGCCTTTCCGAAATATGTTAGAAGACTCCTATGCTGGCAGTTCAACTGAAGATAGTATTGATGAGCTGTCGAGTACTGTAGATAGTTTTTCTGAATCACCTACAAAAGAAATACCCATTTTCAATTCAGGATTTTACCACATTACTCATTCCACTGAATGGCGAATCAAAGATTTGGACCAGGACAATAAGGCAGAACAATCTGTACCTAAGAAGTTAATTGGAACAATTGGAGGATTGCAGCAAGTCATCAATGAAGTGAAAGAAATCATGTCATTAGCTCTCAATCCATCCAGCTCATGGCAACATGGTCTCCGTATATCTAAAGGTGTTTTGCTGTTTGGACCATCAGGCACTGGAAAAACTATGTTGGCTCATGCTCTTGCTCAGGACTCTGCTGCATCTGTCCATACTTTAATAGGCTCAGAGCTTTTCAGCAAAGTCCTTGGTGAAACGGATGCACGACTGAGATCCTTTTTTACCAAAGCAACTTCATCAGGTCCTGCTGTTATCATTTTGGATGAAATAGATTCCTTGTGTTCCAAAAAGAACAGTAGTTCAGGATCAGAACTGGAGAGACGCTTGGTCACCACCCTTTGTACTCTTCTAGATGGTTTAAGCTCCAGCAACAAGAAAGTGTTCGTCATTGCAACAACTAGTAGACCTGACTCTGTAGAATCATCTATTCGAAGACCTGGAAGGTGACTTTATCAATCTGCATCCATGTGGCTTTTTGTATTTAATTTTATGGAAATTTATCATGTCTACTTTATGTCCAATTAGGCTTGATCGGGAAATAGAAGTCCCAGTCCCGACACCAGAGGCTCGTTTTGAGATACTTCATGAACTGTTGAAACCTGTCCCTCATTCATTATCCGAAACAGAATTGCTCTCTGTAGCCCAGGCTGCTCATGGGTTTGTAGGAGCTGATTTAGCATCTCTAGTATCTCAGGCTGGTACTTATGCTCTCAAGAGTTCTTTCGAAAACTCCAGTGTTACCATCAGATTAGTGCATGTGCAATGGGCATTGGCAAGAATAAACCCAAGTGCTATGCGTGAAGTCTTGGTTGATGTTCCAAATGTATGTCTTGCATACAATACTTCCAGAAGATTCTGTGACATCTATTCAATTTTTCAATGTTTTTTCATGTCTTTAAAAATTTAGGTTCGTTGGTCTGACATAGGAGGTCAGGAAGATCTTAAACTCAAACTGAAACAAGCAGTGGAGTGGCCTCTTTCTCATCCAGAGGCATTTGAGAGGCTTGGAATCAAGCCTCCTCGTGGAGTCTTAATGTTTGGGCCTCCAGGCTGTTCAAAGACAATGATAGCGAAAGCCCTTGCAACTGAAAGCAAGCTTAACTTCTTGTCAATTAAGGTATCTATCTCTAGACTAGTATTTTTTATCTATGCACAATTTTTCTTTATCCTTCAACTTTTAAAACAATATTTGTAGGGTCCTGAATTGTTTAGTAAGTGGGTGGGTGAATCAGAACGCGCTGTAAGAGAGGTGTTTCGAAGAGCTCGTCAGGTAGCTCCTGCTATTATCTTCTTTGATGAGTTGGATGCTCTTGGTGGAGAAAGAGGAAGCGGTGGAAGTGGGGGAGGAAGTAATGTTCAAGAACGAGTGTTGGCTCAACTTCTCACTGAAATGGATGGTGTCACTGCTCTGGGAAATGTCACTGTGGTTGCTGCTACCAATAGACCTGACCGCATTGACAAGGTATTGACTTCATGTGTACAACACTTTTGTAATATAAGTGATCCCTGTCTATAATTATATGATTTTCTTCTTATCTTGACTGACAGGCATTGTTAAGGCCAGGGAGATTAGACAGAATAGTATATGTTCCATTGCCAGACACTAATAGTAGAAAGCAAATTTTTGACATTCAATTAAAGAAGATGCCCATATCTGATGACTTAAATGTAAATGACCTTGTACAGAAAACTGAGGGTTATTCAGGAGCTGAGGTGAGTTTGTTGATGGCCTGTTACATTTTCATTCAAAATAATGTCTACTTATAAATTATGTGTTTTTGATGTGTTTTTCTCCCTCATTTTCCTTCAGGTGTTGGCTGTATGTCATGAAGCAGCATTGAAGGCTCTTGAAGAAAATATATCTGCTCAGTTTGTGACACAAAACCATTTTGATGTAGCTTTAGAAATTGTAACACCCCGGACACCACCTTCTTTACTAAAGTTGTACAATGATTACTTGAACAGATGACCTCTAGTCTCAGGTGAGTAAATGCAAATTTGAATTTCATGACATTTTTATTGAATAAGCTATAAAAAATTACAAAGCTTGTGGTTTTATTTAATTGCACA